GACTCTGATAAAACCACCTCTTCAGGCAGAGAATTTCATTTCCTTATAGTTCTAACTGTAAAATAAAACAAAAAACCTTTCCTTTGCCTTAGATTAAATCTCCTTTCCTCCAACCTAAATGCATGACCTTGTACTATATGTATAGCCCTGTTTATGAATAGATTTCTAAATAATGGTTTGTACTGGCCCCTTATATATTTGTATAATGTTATCATATCCCCTCTGAGTTGCCGTTTTTCCAAAATAAAGAGATTTACATTTTTTAACCTTTCTACGTAACTAAAATGCTCCATTCCTTTTTTATCTATTTTGTAGCTTGTCTCTGCACTTTTTCTAGTGCCATGAAATCCTTCTTTAGAACAGGTACCCACAATTGCACAGCATATTCAAGGTGTGGTCTTATCAGCGATTTATAAAAAGGCAAAATTATATTTTCATCCTAAGAATTTATGCCCCTATTTATACATGACAAAACCTTACTGGCCTTAGCAACTGCAGATTGACATTGCATATTGTTGCCTAATTTGTGGTCTATAACAATTCCCAAACCTTTCTTGTGTGTGGTTATCCATAATTCACTACCATTTAGGGTGTAAGTTGCTTGTGCATTCTTAACCCCAAAGTGCATAACCTTGCATTTCTCTATTTTAACTTTCATCTGCCATTTTAGTGCCTAGTCACCCAATCTATCTAAATCCCTCTGCAGCAAAGCAATATCCTGCTCACATTTTATTACTTTACAAAGGTTTGTGTCATCTGCAAACACTAAAACATCTCTTTCAATGCCTATTGTAAGATCATTTATAAATATGTTAAATAGAAGCGGTCCGAAAACAGAACCATGAGGGACACCACTTACCACTTTTGTCCAGCTTGAAAATTTACCATTAATGACAACTAGTTGTACTCTATCCTTAAGCCAATGTTCTACCAAAGAACAAGAATATTCATCTAGACCAATTTCTTTTAGTTTGAAGACTAACCTATTGTGAGGAACCGTATCAAATGCCTTAGCAAAATCCAAGTAGATCACATCCACTGCAACACTCTGATCTATACTTCTACTTATTTCTTCGTAGAATGCAATTAGGTTTGTTTGACATGACCTAGGTTTTATAAAACCATACTGATTATTGCTAATAACAAAGTTCTTCCCAATGAATTCCTGAAAAGTATCCCTTAATAGCCCTTCAAATATTTTCCCAGTCACAAAAGTTAAGCTCAGAGGTCTATAATTTCCAGGCAAGGATTTTGAACCCCTTTTTAAATATAGGAATGACATCTGCCTTCCTCCAATCCTCCGGCACAATACCTGAAACAAAAGAATCTTGAAAAATTAAATACAGACGTTCACTTATTTCTCCATTTAGCTCCTCAAGTACTCGTGGGTGAATACCAACAGGCCCCGGAGCTTTATTTACATTAATTTTTTTTTAACTGCTGTAGCACCTTGTCTTGAGTCATCCAATCACAAGTTATCTGCAAGTTTTTTTGCAGCAATCATTTGCATATTTTGCCATAGGATCCTCATTAATATATACTGAAGAAAAATAGTTATTTAAAATGTATTGTTCTGAGCTTTCCCCTCCCCCATCTCCACTCCCCTTATACTGAGCTAAAGCCCATATACTTTCTATCCTATTTCCATTTTCTAGAATGCTTTGACCCTTCCCCCCTATTACTAGTTTAAAATCTCCTCCAACCTTCTAGCCATCCTATCCCCCAGCACAGCAGACCCTCTTCCGTTTAGGTGCAATCCATCACGGCTATACAGGTTGTACCCAAGCGCAAAATTGGCCCAGTGCTCTAAAAACCCAAAACCCTCTTTCCTGACATCAGCCACGCATTGACCTCTCTAATCCCCCTTTGCCTTTCTGCTGTAGCACCAGGCACAGGTAACATTTCTGAAAATATTACCTTGGAGGTCCTTTTCTTTAGCTTACTTCCTAGTTCCCTGAATTCATTCTTTAGGACCTTCCATTTACCTCTGACTTTGTCATTGGTACCAACATGGACCATGAAAGCTGGGTCATCCCCAGCCCCTCCCAATAATCCCTCCACTCTGTCAGCAACATGCTGGACCCGAGCACCCGGGAGACAGCAAACTGTCCGGTTGAGTTGATCAGAGGGGCAGATTACCCTTCCTACTCTCTTAATAATAGAGTCCTGTACAACCACAACCTGTCAAGCCTTCATTACACTCTCAATCCCACACGTACTAGAGGGGCTGTTCCCATGGCTGTTAGAAGGAACGGTTTCCTGCAGTATAGCTACTCCTGAGCTGATGCGCCCAACATCTTCACTCAAACGGGTAAATCTGTTAGGCTGCGCAAGATCAGGACGAGCAAAACCTTTCATCTTCTCCCACCCCCACTGCTTCCTCGCCCCACTGTTACCCAGCCGTGTGTGTATGTGTAAGGATAGACAACGTGTCCTTACACATACACAGAAACACATGCACAAAATGCATCCCTACTCACACTGAAACATATAATGCATCCTACACTCACACAGAAACAGACAATTCTTACCTTACACACACAGAAAACCAAAATGCATCCATTACACACACAATGCATACCTCACAAACACAATGCAGCCCTTGCACACATACACAGAAGCACACAATGCATCCTTTACACACACACTGCTTCTCTTAATGCAACTCTAACACACACTCAATGTACCTGCATTACATACACAGAAACACACCTTGCATCCCTTACACATACAAACACAGATTCACACAATGCATCCCTTACACACACACCCCTAAAACACATAATGCATTCTTTACACACAAACACACACTGCATCCACTATACACACACACTACATCCCTTACACAAACTGGTATCCCTATACATTACATCCTCTACAATAACACATAACACAACCCCTACCCATATACACTCCATTCCCTGTGAGCAAACTCATGGGTGGGCCTTGTAGGCATCAGGCTTATGGGCAGGCCTTGTAGGCATACTCACGGTCAGGCTCTGGGGGCCCAAACCGTAATCTGTGCAAGGGGCCCCAAAAAATGGAGCTGCTTCCTGTTCATTGTTTTAGTGAGCACTGCCTCCAGAGAGCCTGTTTTAACACCAGACCAGTGGAGCCAGACTGCAGCCTGAGCCCATCATTATTATTATTATATTATTTATATACTGCCATCACATTCCATAGTGCTGTACAATAGGTGGACTAACAGACATGTAACTGTAACCAGACAATTGGATGTACATGAACAGATTGGTGGAGGGCCCTGTTCAATGAGCTTACATGCTAGAGGGGGTGGGGTATAGTGACACACAGGGTAAAAGTAGTGGTATGAAGTAGGTTGTTAGAAAAGTATTCACTGAGGGCTTAGTAGGTAATTTTTGACAGTTGCAGGAGAGGAGTCATGGGGGGTGGGGGATAAAAACCTGCTAACCGTTTAATTGATATGCTTTCTTGAAGAAGTGAGTTTTCAATGATCTGAGTGGAGACTGGGCATGCAGGGACTGACAGAGCGGGGAGGCGTGAGAGGTGCGAGCGGACAGGAAAATAAGCCTCGCCGCCGCATTCATTATAGATTGCAGCGGTGCAATCTGGGAACACGTACGACCACTGAGAAGGGTATTGCAGTAGTCAAGACGAGAGAGAACAAGAGCATGGACCAGCACCTTAGCCGCATCCGGGGTTAAAAAGGAGCGAATGCGCGCTATATTTTTTAGATGGAAGTGACAGGATTTGGCGATTGATTGGACATGAGGGGTGAAGGGGAGGTTGGAGTCAAAAAGAATACCCAGGCAGCGAGCCTTCGCGGTAGAGGTGATGGTAGCGGGTAACACAGGAGTAGTATCACTTGAGGGAGGAAAGACCAGAAGTTCTGTTTTGAACAGGTTGAGTTTAAGGAAGTGAGCAGCCATCCAGTTGGAAATTGAAGAGAGGCAGTCAGAGACATGAGTCAAGATGGGCAGAGAGAGATCAGGAGAGGACAGGTAGATTTGTATGTCATCTGCATAGAAATGATAACGGAAGCCAAAGTAGCTGATGAGTTTACCAAGGGAGGCAGTATAGACAGAGAACAGTAGGGGACCAAGGACAGAATCTTGGGGAACACCGACAGATTGTGGTTAGGGGGAAGAGGCAGAGTCAGAGAAAGAAGCACTGAAAGAGCGCTGGGAGAGGTAGGAGGAGCACCAGGAGAGAGCAGTATCCCGTAGACCAAAATTACGGAGAATGTGAAGAAGATGTTGATGATCAACAGTGTCAAAGGCAGCAGAAAGATCAAGGAGAATTAGGATAGAGTAATGGCCGTGAGATTTAGCAGCAATTAAATTGTTGGATACTTTTGGTCACAGCCGTTTCGACAGAAAGACCAGCGTGCAATCCAGACTGAAGGGGGTCAAGCAGAGAGTTGGATTCGAGAAAATCAGTCAGTCTGGTGTACACAACTCTCTTGAGGATCTTGGTAGGCAAATGGCAGTAGCGAGATAGGGCGGATGAGATACGAGGGAATAGGATTGAGGGAACAGGTGGTGGGGCGAGAGGACCAGAGCAGAGCAGAAACCTGTAGCTGGTGCGAATGATTGTAGAATGGTGGAGGAAGTGGGGTTGGGTGATGTATTGGTAGGGGAAGGAGAGAAATTAGCTATCTCTTCTCTGATTGTAGAGATCTTCTCAGTGAAGTGATATGCAAAGTTTGTGACGGAGAAGGTGGTAGAAACATTTTTGGAGGTAACAGGTCAGCTTGGTGTGCCAGGGTTGTAATCATCATCCTCTTGTCTTCATCTGGTGGTAAGTAGGCAATCAGTATATTATTAGTGGCACTAATCCCTAATTTATCTCACATTAAAGGGACACTATAGTCACCAGAACCATCTACAGCTTAATGTAGTGGTTCTGGTGTCTATAGCCTGTCCCTGCAGGCTTTTAAATGTAAACACACTGCCTTTTCAGAGAAAAGACACTGTGTGCAGCGCTGGCGTTGGCTCATATAGCAGATCATATGGGTGAGGTATTGTGATGGGGTGAGGAGGGGGCAGCAAATGTTTGTTTGCCTAGGGCGGCAAAGATCTTTGCACCAGCCCTGTATATCAGCCCCAACACAACAAAAAAAAGAAATTAAATACTTGCACACTATCCCAAATCCCTACGCACATTTAAATAACTGGAGGGTTTTTTTTCATATCACTCTAATAGCCATTAAAGTAGGCTCACCTACCACTTTAATGAACATTGGAGTGATACTAAAAAAAAAACCTCTATATTTAAATATGTATAGGGATTTGGGCAAGTGCCCAAGTAATG